AATGTACAACATTGAGAGTGAACTCATGTAAATTATGGACTTTGAGTGACAAAGACTTCTCAGTGCAAGTTTGTCAACAGTAACAAATTTATTGCTCTGTTCAGTAATGGTGATAATGGAGAGGCTATGCTTGTGTATGGATTAGTGGTATATGTGAAATCTCCGTTCTTTCTTCTTAATTTTGGTGTAAACCCAAACTGCTCTAAATATAACCTACTTTTATATTACAAATAATTTGTTTAAAATAACCAGGTAGATATTTTAGAAATATTGATTGATATTGTATTCATTGAGTTCATAGTAATTAAAATTAAAAATATACAGATAAGATTAAAGATTAATAAATACTAGAAATATTTTTCCAGAGCATGGCTTAGGGTGGCAAAAAATGATTTAATGTTTGAAAGATAGTTTAAGTTATATGAAGTAATGTATGAGAAAATCTTCAGTTTCTTCATGATTATTGTAAGAGAGGAATGAAAGAATTGTTCAGAGGAAAATATTGTGACAGTTCTATAGAATTACAAATGATGACAACCCAGAAATTCAAGAAAAGCAACAAATCTCAATCAGATTGAATTAAACAGACATCAGCAGATAGGCATTATTATGGAAAATATCAAACATGCTCAATAGAATCACAAAATAGAGGAGTCACCTTACAGGATGGAATGGAATTCTAAGCAAGAAGAAAAGAGCTGGAGGTATCAGGCATGACATTACTGGACTTCAAGCTATACTGTGAAGCCACAGAAACCACAGCAGCATGGTCCTAGTAAAAAAAACCAGACACATAGCCAATGAAATAGAATAGAGAAATAAACTCACACACAACCATCTGATCTTCAATAAAATTAACAAAAATAAGCAGTAGTGAGGACACTTTATTTAATAAATGGTACTGAGATAACAAACTAGCTATTTGGAGAGAATGAAACTGGATCCTATCAGTCAGCATACACAAAAATTCAAAGAGCTAAAGATAGAACTGCCATTTGATCCAGCAATCTCAATATTCAGTACCTACGCAAAGGAAAATAAATCACTGTACCAAAAGGCACCTGCACTCATATATGTATCACAGCACCATTCACAAGAGCTTTTGTGGAATTAATCCAAATATGATATCAAATTTTCTTTATCCCATCTTTATCCCAAGATGTATTAAAACCTTTAATGTCATACCTCAAACTACGAAAATCCTAGAAGAAAAACCTACAATAACAGCTTTGGCAAACTATTTATGGCCATGTCCAACGAAGCAATCACAACCAAAGCAAAATTGACAAATGGGACCTAATTAAACCAAAGAGCTTCTACAAAGCAAATGAAATTACCAACAGAGTAAACAGCCTGATAACTTCTTCCTCTGAAGACTCCTCTATTTGAAATTAATATAGCTGTTCTTGCTTTCTTTTGATTAGTATAAGCCTGCTGTATCTTTCTCCATCAGTTTAGTTGTTAAAAATGTTTTACAGATATATATGATACAAATGCAGTTGTATTACTTAGGTATATTTCATAGTAATCAATTCTGGGCCTTCAGTGTAGCCATCACCCAAATAGTGTACATTGTAAACAAATAGTAGTATTTTATTGCTCACTTCCTCTCACCTCTCCACCTTTTGGAATCTCCAATATCTACTATTCCAATTTCATGTCAATGTATGTTCGCTTTTTAGCTCCTACTTATAACTGAGGACATGTAGTTTGATTTTCTGTTTCTGAGTCATTTCACATGATAATGGTCTCCAGTTCCAACATTCTCCTGCAAATGACATGATTTTATTTTCTTTTGTGCTTGAGTAGTATTTCATATATATGTATATGTGTGTGTGTGGGTGTATGTATATATATATGTATGTGTGTGTGTGTATATATATATTCACATATATATATATTTTTTTCTTGGTTAGTAGTGTATTTATTTTTTAAATTTATGTGTTATACTTTAAGTTCTGGCATACATGTGCAGATTGTACAGGTTTGTTACATAGGTATACATGTGCCATGGTGGTGGTTTGCTGCATCCATCACAAGATCATCTACATTAGATATTTCTCCTAATGCTATCCCTCCCCAATCCCCTTACCCCCTGCTATTTCTCCCCTAGTCTCCCACCCCCAAGGCTCCAGAATGTGATGTTCCCCTCCTTGTGTCTCTGTGTTCTCATTGTTCAAAGCCAACTTATGAGTGAGAACATGCGATGTTTGGTTTCCTGTTCTTGTTTCAGATTGCTGAGAATGATGGTTTCTAGTTCCATCCATGTCCCTGCAAAAGACATGAACTCATCCTTTCTCCTGGCTGCATAGTATTCTATGGTGTATAAATGCCACATTTTCTTTACCCCTTCTATCATTGATGGGCATTTGGGTTGGTTCAAAGTCTTTGCTATTGTGAACAGTGCCACAATAAACATACGTGTGCATATGTCTTAATAATAGAAAGATTTATAATCCTTTGGGTACATACCCAGTAATGGGATTGCTGAGTCAAATAGTATTTCTATGTCTAGATCCTTGAGGAATCATCACATTGTCTTCCACAATGGATGAATTAATTTACACTCCTACCAACACTGTAAAAATGTTACAATTTCTCCACATCCTCTCCAGCATCTGTTGTCTCCTGATATTTTAATGACCGCCATTCTAACTGGCATGAGGTGATATCTCAATGTGGTTTTGATTTGCATTTCTCTAATGACCAGTGATGATGAGATTTTTTTCATATGTTTATTGGCTGCGTGAATATCTTCTTTTGAAAAATGTCTGTTCACATCGTTCACCTACTTTTTGATGGGGTTGTTTTTTTCTTGTATTCTCTGTAGATTCTGAATATTAGCCCTTTGTCAGATGGGTAGTTTGCAAAAATTTTTTCCCATTCTGTTGGTTGCTGATTCACTATATTTATAGTTTCTTTTGGTGTGCAGAAGCTCTTAAGTTTAATTAGATCCAATTTTTCTCTTTTAGCTTTTGCCAAAAACAAGCAATGGGGAAAGGATTCCCTATTTAATAAATGATGTTGGGAAAACTGGCTAGCCATATACGGAAAGCTGAAACTGGATCCCTTCCTTACACCTTATACAAAAATTAACTCTAGATGGATTTGTTGCATGTTCTTCACATATACCCCAAAACCTAAAATGCAATTAAAAAAAAGAAAGAATAATAATAATAAAAAAAGATTTAAACAAGAGACCTAACACCGTAAAAACTCTGGAAGAAAAACTAGTCTATATGTATGTATTATATGTATATGCAAATGTCTACCAGTGGAAGAAAGGATAAAGGAAATATGATAACATATTTGGATTTTCCATGACTTTGCTTTTGTGAATTGTGCTATAATAAACATATGAGTGAAGATGTCTTTGGAAACAATGATTTATTTTCCTTTGGGTAGGTACCAAATAGTGAGATTGCTGGATCAAATTGTAGTTTTATTTAGCTCTTTGAGAAATTTTCGTACTGTTTCCCATAGAGATTGTGCTAATTTATGTTCCCACCAACAGTGAGTGCATAAATGTTCCCTTTTCTCTGCCTGTTAGCCAACATCTATTAATGTTTGACTTTTTAGTAACAGTCATTCTGACTGATATAAGATGTGGCTAATTGTGTTTCAATGTGCATTTATCTGATGATTAGTGATGCTGAGCAATTTTTCATATGTTCTTTGTTGGCTTATATGTATTATCTTGAGAAATCTCTGTTCATGTTTTTTTATCCCCCTTCTAATTGAAGTTTTTCTTGCTGTTTTTTTGTGGATTCTGAATATTAGTCCTTTGTCACATATATAACTTGTGACTATTTTATCCCATTCTGTAAATTCTTATTTTACTCTATTGATTATTTATTTTGTTTTGCAGAAGGTTATTAGTTTAATTAAGTTCAATTTGTCTATTTTTATGTTGTGTTTACTTTTAAGAATGTGGTCATAAATTCTTTGCCTAGAGCAATGTACAGAATAGTTTTTGCTAAGTTTTGTTTTAGAATTTTATAGTTTTAGGTCTTACATTTCAGTGCTGTATCCCTCTTGCATTAGTTTTTGTATATCATGAGAAAGATGGATACAGGTTCATTCTTTTGCATATGGCTATCCAATTTTTCCAGCACCTTTTATTGAGTAGCATATCCTCTCCCTGGTGTATATTTTTGTCAGCTTGGTCAAAGTTTGGTTGCTTTTAGGTGTGTGACTTTATTTTGGGGTTCTCTATTGCATTCCATTGATCTCTGTATGCATTTATGCCAGTGCCATGTTGTGTGGTTATTAAAGCCTTGTTGCATAATTTCTCCTCAGGTACTGTTATACCTCCAGCTTTCTTCTCTTAGCTTATGATTGCTTTCGCTATTCAGGATATACTGTGGTTTCATATAAATTTTAGGATTTCTTTCTTCTAATTTTGTGAAAATGACTTTGGTAATTTGTAGGAGTTGCACTGATTTTATTGATTCCTTTGAGAAGTATGGTAATTGGAATTATATTGATTCTTTTGATCCATGAGCATGGGATGTTTTATCTCTGTGTCTGCTACCTTTGTTTTTCTCAGTGTTTTGTAGTTCTTCTTGTAGAGACATTTTACCTCCTTAGTAAAAATGTATTCCTAGGTATTTTATGTGAGTTTTTGTAGTGATTGAAATGGGATTGAGTTCTTGATTTGGTTCTCAGCTTTATGGTTGTTGATGTATAAAGATTCTACCAATTTTTGTAGCTTGATTTTTTATTCTGAAACTTTACTGCAGTCATTTATCAAACCTAGGAATCTTTTGGGGGGGTCTTTAGAATTTTCTTGTATAAAATTATATAATTAGTGAATAGATAAATAGCTTTTCTCTTTTCCAATTTAGATACTTTTTGTAATCTACTGTTGTTTCTATATTTAAAGTAGGTTTCTTGTTGACAACATAGAGTTGGGTCTTGTTCTTTGAACCACTCTAATATTGTCTTTCAGTGGCTACATTTAAACTATTAATCTTCATGGTTCACACCTGAATTCTTAGCTGGGTGTGTTGGCATGCACCTGTGTCCTAGCTATTCAGAAAGCTGAGGCATAAGGCACACCTGAGCCTGGGAGTTCAAGGCTGCAATGAGCTATAAGTGTGCCACTTGAATTAAGCCTAGGAAACAGAGCAACATACTTTTCTTAAAAATAAAAAATAAACTATTGATGTCCAAAGTGAGTACTGATATAGTCAGATTAATATCTACCATATTTGTTCATATTTTCTATTTATTGCATTCGTTTTTCTTTCTATCTTTGTTTTGGTCTCTTTTTTTTCTTTTGTGTTATTAATTGAGCATTTTATATAATTTTCTTTTCTTTTTTAGTATTTGAGTTTTATATCTTTTTCTTTTTTAACCTTTTTTTAGCTCCCACTTATTCATTTTTACAGTTGTGTTTCTGTAGTTTGAAAATGATAAATGCCTAGTTATTTGTCTTACTTGAAGTTCTCTGACGTTTCTGGTCCTGCAGTTTGGCATCTGACATTAACTTGTAATCATTCTCAATTATTGCTTTAAATATTTCTTTAATTCCTTCCTCTTTATAGTGTTCTCATTACATGCACATACTACCTTTTGTAGTTGTCTCAAAGTCCTTGAATATTATTTTATTATTTTCGTTTTTAAATTACTTTTTCCTGTTTGTGTTTTAGTTTCAGAAGTTTCTACTTGATATACACAAGCTCACAGATTTTTTTCCTCTGCTGTCCCACGTCTACTAATAGGCCCATTGAAGACATTTCTGTTATAGTAGTTTTAATCTCTAGCATTTATTTTTGGTTCTTAGAATTTGTATTTCTCTGTTTACATTGCCCATATGTTTTTGAATGCTGTCTAGTTTATCTGTTAGAATCATTAGCATATTAATCATAATTATTTTGAATTCTCAATCAAGTTGAACCTGCCTTCCATGTCTGATTCTATAACTTGTTCTGTGTCCTCAAATTATGTTTTTATGTCTTTCAGTATGTCTTGTAATTTTTTCTTAAATTACCAAAAAAAAAAAAAAAACTGGGCATGATGGGCCAGTGAACAAAATAGTGCTATAAATAGACCTTGAACGATGTGACACTTCTAGTTCCACTCCTCCCTTAGGTAGAACAGAATAGCTAAAGTGGGCTGGAGTTGGATGTTATATTTTTTCCATGTCAGTTAGGCTCTGGTAAAACTCCAGTCGCTTGGATTCTGGTTAAATAGTTTCTCCTGAGGGAATACTTGTTTAAGAAGGATACATTTATCTGCTGTATTTCAAAATGTAACTTTTATCTTCCTCCTGCTGGAAGTATTAAAGTTTTTCTCTGATATTCACTGTGAGAATCTAGTTAAAATTCCAGGAGGTAAAACTGGAAAGTATGACCCCTACCATGACTGGGTCCTTCTGGAGATATTATTTCTCATACTTGTTTGCAACGAGCTTCCAGCAATTAATCAATTACAGTCCAAATTCCCCTACCCAGACACTGGTTCCTGCAGAAGTTTTAACGTGTGTGCTCCTGTTCCAGTGAGTTGTGATTCTTAGTAGTCTCCTGCTGATCTCCATAATTTGGGGAGTAGTGGTATGTTCTAATACTCCACTTTTCTTATAGATCTAGTATTTGTTAAATTTTTTTTTAGGTTGTTAAGAGTTTTACCTGCTATAAGGATTCTTTTGATTCCCAGACTTCTTAAATGCCAGATCCAAAACTGGCTTCTTAGTAATTTTTCATAATTTTGTGTCCTCTGCAAATATATTCAAATTTTTTCTTTGAATTTATTAAACAGATTTGTTTTCTAAAATTATGTCTGAGAGTTCCAATATTTAAAATAATTTTTGACTCTACCCACTCTCTACTGTTTACATTGATTCTCACTTAGTAGTGGCTAATTTATTTGTGTGATTTTTACCTGTGGGCTATTTGGTTTTAATAGAAATTAATCATTTTTTGGTATTTCTTGATTTAAGTTTCTCCAGATAGGATTTGCATTTGCTTCTGTTTCCTGCCTGGAGCCACTAATAACCGGAAGGAGTTTAAATTTAATTCCTGCTTTGATGTTTGATGTTTTCCAGAGAACACAGGTAGCATGTTGGGATAAAAAGAAAAAAAGCGGTGTTAGAGCCAACTTAGAATTTTAAAGTTGCAAAAGAGATTTTTATTTACTTTGCCAAAATTGAAGTAATTGAGATTCATTTCTGTGTCCACCTCAATGCTTCTTATTTATTGTTGAATCTTACCCTGAGGGTGTAAGATTCTGAGTTTGGATTACTAAGTCTTACAAAGGGGTTCTTTAGTTTTCCACCTTTTCTGGGATGTTCAACTGTCAATTCAGAAGCTTATGATCCCAGAGTAAAGAAAAAAAGATTAAGTAAAGCTGTCCTTAAAATTTACGGGTTTTTTGTTTGTTTGTTCTGTTTTGTTTTTTCAAACTGAATTCTTATTCTCAATTAACTCATGGGTTTCTTTCAATGCATCTTGTCGAGTGTTTACCAAGTGTCTAGGACTGTTTTTATCTGTCATTTTAGTTGTTTTATTTGAGAGAACTATTAAGAATTATAAGCTGATACACTGTAAGAAATATGTTTATTTCAACCATTTTCCTAATTTGTAAAGTGTTTTTACTGTTTACTTTGTGTTTTCTTCATGCATAATACGTCACTTACCAATACATCTCAGTAGGGAGCAAAGAACCTACCACATAGCAGTTTTATGGTAACTACTTACAAAATGGAAGAAGTTGGATAGAGGAAACATTTTTAGTTTCATCAGATTCTTTCAGACCAAAAAGGCAGCTCTCCCTGCATAAATCTCTATACGTTTGTTTTCACTTGTCATTACTGCTTTCTTGCCATATAATTAATAGGCTTTCTTTACAGATTTATAAATGTGATAACATGTATGCTATAAATAGAACAGTGCATGGTACATAACCTAAAGTTATGTTAGTCAAAATCTGCTCTATCCTAAGCCACAACTACCCTATCCCAGTTTTGTTTCACAATCTAAGATACACATTTACCTTTTCTTGTGTTTTTTTTTTTTTTTTTCCTCCTTGGGTTGCTGATGATAATGATTCATTTGCATTATCAACTGTATAAGCACCTCTCATATATAAGGCAGTAAAACTGTACTGAGAAACATTATTTTCATCTGTGGTATGCAATTTATACAGAAAGATACATGCAATTGAGAATCATTCCCTAATAAATATTATTATACTGTATCAACATCTTTCTTAGATCTTTGGTATTATATTACAGCAGGCACTTAAGAATATATGAAGGATATTAAAATAATACATTATTTTTTCAATATATTGACTTTTTGATAAAATATTTTAAAAAGGAATTTCTATTTTGTTAAACATTGATGCCTACTATCTCTTATGTTATTAAAATATGTTTAGTTCTTATTTTGGAAAATGTGCCAATGATTGAGGTTTGTAAATTTTCTGTTCAAAATTTTAATTTAATAAACAGTATTGTAGTAATGTTGATCTCTAATTCTACTTCTCCTCATTTTAAATACTTTTTGTAATCTCTGTTATCTGGGAACTTTTCACTAAGTTTCACTGAGCCCATATAGCATTTGCCCTTTTTAGGATACTTCTTCCATTGATTATAAACACATAAATATTAAGTATAGTTGTTAATTTGCCTGAAAGACTCCACTGAAATATTAAATTGCATTAAAAAATAAAGTTATAGATGCACTGATGTTACACTGAACCAACAAATGCAATTTCAGATTCTACTTGTTTCTATGAAACTGTTTTCTTGACTTCAAATGTATTTAGAAAAGAAAATACATGTGAAAAGAAAATGACAGAAAAACAGTGAAGCACTTCTTCTTAAGAGAATATATCAGAAAATGTGTGATCTTAGGCCAGTGCCTACATGAAGTAAAATCTTAAAGAGGTAAACGGAGTTTCCATTTAATGTACCTAGAACTCAGTGGGTATAGTAGAATAAATAAGCTTTGTTAGGAGAATAGAATAAAATACAATCTTTAGCAAAATGGATTATAAGTGAAGTTTCTAGAAATCTGTTCTAAATAAAAAGCAGTTATAACCCATATTACCTTGCACATGTAGACATTGACCTAGTACACACTAATTGGATCAGAGTGAGTGGGAAATGCAGAGATAAAGAATCATGACATTCTGTTGCTCTTTCAGGAAGAATGACTCATTAAAAAAAGGTAATCTCAGAGAGATATGAAGTTTGGGAATTCTTTTAAGATAGGAGAAATAATAATATGTAATTAAATGCTAAAAAATATTGGCAGGAAGAAATTGCATTAAAAATAATTAATCAAGCAGTAAATTTTTTTTTTTTTGAGACATTGTCTATCTCTCTCTGTTACCCAGGCTGGAGTGCAGTGACGTGGTCTTGGCTCTCCAAACTCCACTTCCCAGGCTCAGGGAATTCTCCTTGCTCAGCCTCCCAAGTAACTGGGACTACCGGTATGCAACACCATGCCTAGCTAATTTTTGTATTTTTAGTAGAGGTGGGATTTAGGCATTTTGAGCAGGCTGGTCTCAAACTCCTGGCCTCAAGTAATCCACCCACCTTGGCCTCCCAAAGTTCTGAGATTATAGGAAGGAGGCACTGCACTCAACCAAGCATTAACATTTCTAAGAAAAAGGGAATTTTCAGATACAAAACATAGATGGAAATATTGACTTTTGATAAAAGGTACTTCCTCTATTAAAATAAAAGTCAGGGGAACATGAATGAATAAAGTTTGGTCCTCTTTAGTGATTTATATTTAACATGACTTAGGTGGTAAACTCATTAACTGAAAACCGGAAAGGTAGTGGTATTGAATTAGCTGTGAATGAGAGTTTTTTCTAATTGTTGCTAGTAATTTATCTTTCAAGTTATAAGAATTTTATACTGGAAAACTGTGCATTGCATTGAAAAAGGATCCAGCAGAATAGACATAGCATGTCAAAAAGAGAAGATGAAGGATGTTTAATGAAAAGGCTATTTTCAAATGTATGGCCAAATGAAAGAGAGGCCAACAAGGGATTGTGGAATACCATGGGAATGTCCTTAAACCAAGAGAAGCAAATATAACTGATAAGGTTTGGCTCTGTATCCCCACTCAAATCTCATGTTGAATTGTAATCTTCAGCCTTAGAGAAGGGGCCTGGAAGGAGGTGACTGAATCATGGTGGAAAACATCCCTTGTGATAAGAGTTCTCACCAGATCTGGTTCTTTCAAAGTATGCAGCGCTTCCCCATTCACTTTCTTCCTCCTGCTTCCACCGTGTAGACGTGGTGTTTGCTTCCTCTTTACCTTCCACCATGATTATAAGTTCCCCAAGGCACCCCAGCTATGCCTCCTTCACAGCCTGTGGAACTCTAAGTCAATTAAACCTCTTTTCTTTATAAGTTACCCACTCTCAGGTATGTATTTATAACAGTATGAGAACAGGCTAATAGAGCAAATTGGCACTGAGCAGTGGGGCATTGCTATCACGATACCTGAAAATGTGGAAGCAGCTTGGGAACTGGGTAATGGGCAGAGGTTAGAACAGTTTGGAGGGATCAGAAGAAGACAGGAAGATGAAGGGATGTTTGGAACTTCTTAAAGATTGTTAAATTGTTGTGACCAAAATGCTGATAGTGATATAGACAGTGGAGTCCAAGCTAAGGAGGTCTCCTTATGGTATAAAGAACTTACTGGGAACTGGAATAAGGTCACTCTTGCTATGCATTAGCAGAGAGACTGGAAGCATCGTGCCCTTGTTCTAGAGATATGAGGTACTTTGAACTTGATAGAGATGATGTAGGGGATCCAGCAGAAAAAATTTCTAAGCAGCTAAACTTTCAAGATGTGGCCTGGCTGCTTCCAAAAGCCTACTATTATTTTCATAAGAAAAGAAATGATCTGAAACTGGAACTTATATTTAAAAAGGAAGCAGCATAAAAATTTGGAAAATTTGTAGACCAGCCATGTGGTAGAAAAGAAAAACCCATTTTTAGGGGAGAAATTCAAGTGTACTGCAGAAATTTGCCTAAGTAAAGAAGAGCCAAACCTTAACAGCCAAGACAATGGGGAAAATACCTCCAAGGCCTTTCAGAGGCCTTCATAGCAGTCTCGCCCATCACAGACCTGGAGGTCTAGGAAAGAAGAATGGCTTTGAAGGCCAGATCCAGGGATTCACCACTCTGTGCAGCCCTGGGACATGGTCTCTGTGACTCAGACACTCCAGCTCCAATTATGGCTAAATAGATCCCAAATACATCTCAGGCCACTGCTCCAGAGGGTGCAAGCCTGGAGGCTTCCATGTGGTGTTAAGCCTGTGAGTGTGCATAGGGAGGATGCTTGGGAGCCTCCATGTAGATTTCAGAGGTTGTATGGAAATGTCTGAATGTCTAGGCAGAAGTCCTCTACATGGGCAGGGCCCTCATGGAGAAACTCTACTAGAGCAGTGCAGAATGGAAATGTGGGGTTGGAACTCCCACACAGAATGTCTACGGGGCTGAAGTCCTCCAGACCCCAGAATGCTAGATTCACCAACAGCTTGCACTATGCACCTGGAAAAGACATGGGCACTCAACTCCAGCCCATGAAAGCAGCTGTGGGGGCTGTAACCTGTAAAGCCAGAGAGATGGAGCTGCCCAAGGCCTTGGGATGTGAGTCACGAAGTCAAAGGAGATTATTTCAGGGCTTCAAGACTTAATGAATGCCCTGCTGGGTTTGGATTTTCATGGGACCTGTAGGCCCTTTATTTTGACCAATTTCTCCCATTTGGAATGGGAACATTAACCCAATGCCTGTACTCCCACTGTATCTTGGAAGTAGTTTTTTTTTTTTTTTTTCAGGATCATAGATGGAAGAAACTTGCCCTGTGTCAGGTGAGACTTTGGACTTGGAATTTTGTGTTAATGCTGGAATAAGTTAAGACTGTGATTGGCTTTGAAATGTGAGAAGAAAGTGAGGAGGGGTCAGGGGTGGTTTGGCTCTGTGTCCTCACCCAAATCTCATGTCAAATTGTAATCTGCAGGGTTAGAGGAGGGAGCTGGTGGGAGCTGACTGAATTATAGGAACAGAAGTCCCCCTTGCTGTTACGTAAGAGTTCTCATGAGATCTGGTTGCTTCAAAATGTATAGCACCTCCCCCTTCCCTCTGTCTGCTCCTGCTCCTGCCCTGTCAGATGTGTTTGCTTCCCCTTCACTTTCTGCTGTGATTGTTTCCTGAGGCCACTGCAGCCATGCCCCCTGTACAACCTGTGGAAGTGTGAGTCAATTAAACTTCTTTTCTTTATAACTTGCCCAGTCTCATGTATGCCTTTATAGCAGTGTGAGAATGGACTAATACAATAGCTCACCCTGAGAATGTTTCTTAACTTATTAAGATGCTTATTGATTCATCCAAATGGAGATGAAGAAAAATTAGACTTCGTCTAAGAAACCTGTGCTGTTTCCACAGAAAACACTTGAGTGAAGAGGAGAAGAAGAGTTTTGTGGACAAGAGTGATTTGTAGTCTCATCTATTGTTTTGTAATTGTACTAACAACTTTGATTTTCAGGCTTAGATAAAAATATTCCATTTATTTAGTATAAGAGCTTAAAGTGAAATACTTATGGTCTCTGAACTAGAAAAGTAAAAGATAATTCTTACTCTTTTTTTCACCCATGAGAATTACTATTCTATATCTGAAAGTACAATGAAAATTTTATAACATCCTCATCAGTGAGTTTTGCCGCTTTTGTTTGAAAGAGGCTGATAAAGGGAAGACATGAGAGAAAGCCAGAGTTTGACACAGTATGCTGTTTGTCATTGCCTAAACTCATCGTGAATATGGGGTTATGAAAGAGACCTGCTGCAAGAATAAAGATTTTACTGGAGAACCTCAAATTTAAAGTGAAATTATATTGATACTTCAGTTGAAAATTAAAGCTTACTCTTTCAGCTGCTGTGACATGAGGAAATGTACTGTGTTGAGTCACATTATCTTTCCAGCCAGAACAAGTTATGCGAGGTATAAAATGGAATAGAGGAAATAAAAGGGGAGGAGTCAGCAAAAGTTAGACAAATGATCTATTAAGGGAATATAGACAAAAAAGAAGGAAAAATGTAATAGAGAAAAGGCAGGAAGCCCCATAACAAAAATTTTGGAGAAAAGAACAATAAACAGAAATCAAAATGGCCCTAACTTCATATATTTCAAGCACAGAAATAAAAGGAATAATAAAATATATACTAACATGAAAATATTCTCATTATTTTCTTCATTTTTATTACTTGTAATTCAAAATATTCTTTCAGAAATAGCATGTGATATTTACTGTGATGTTGTGCTGACTTATTTCTTAATTCCATTTCTCAAAATTTAATAATTTAATTATAGAATGTTCAATCTAAATATTAGCTTAATTAAACCTTTATTAAGCTTGCTACAAAAGAGGCTATGCAGCATGGTAGATAAAAGCTTGCCCTTTGCTGGGATTCAATGTCCTTGGGCAAAATAATTCACTCTTTATGTGCCTCAGTTTTTCATATGTAAAATGTGGATAGTGTAATAATACTTATTTCATACTGTGACTGTGAATTTATGTAACTTTCATACATGAGAGTTACATAAATTAATTCATGGAATTACTTCAATTGATGATTGCCAAATAGTATGTGCTCAAACATGTTATCATTATCATTACCACTTGCAGTGTGCTAATCTGTGCCTGTGCATGAATAGTTCTAATAACTTTTATTAGATTATACCATTTCAACTATTTATTTTAAATGAAGGCATGCAAAGCATTGCCAAAATTATAAAATAAATTTTCCTACTCACTTATTTTTCCCCTTTTTATGTAACCACAACCAGGAAATTAAAATTGGTAAGATACTATTAACTATTTTGCAATTCTAGTTTCTAATAAGATTCCATCAGGTTTTCCACACATGTCCTTTATCTGTTCAGAATTCCATCTAGGCTCCACATTATTTATAGCTGCTATTTAGCTTGAGTATGCTCCAGTCTCTAATATTTCCTCAGCCTTTTCTTGTCTTTCATCACTTTGTCACTTGTAAAGCATGGATCAATTATTTTGTAGAATGCCCCTCAATTTGGGTTTGTCTGATGATGTCTCCTTACAGCAATGGTATAATATATTGTTTAAAAGAATACCACAGGCTGAGCGCTGTGGCTCAAGCCTGTAATCCTAGTACTTTGAGATGCCGAGGCAGGTGGATCACCTGAGGTCAGGAGTTCAAGACCAGCCTGCCAACATGGTGAAATCCTGTCTCTACTAAAAATACCAAAATTACCTGAGTGTGGTGCTGGGTGCCTGTAATCCAAGCTACTCAGGAGGCTGAGGGAAGAGAATCACCTGAACCCAGGGGACAGATGATGCAGTGAGCCGAGATCGTGCCACTGCACTCCAGTCTGGGCATAAGAGTGGAACTCTGTCTTGGGCGGAGGGTGGGCGGGAAGAATGTCACAGAAATAATGTGGTATCATATTCAGTGTTTCATATCAAGTAGTTCATAATGTAAATATATCTTACTTTAGGTGTTGTAAACTTTAATAACTTAGCTCAGGTAGATTCTTAAATAATTTTTCACTCTAAATTTACTGTTTTTCTCTTCGTAGTTGATAAATATCTTGACGAAGATAGATTGAGTTTATAAAACCTCATGCTCAAAATTTGCCGTATAATTTTAGCTTCCATCAATGAGCATGTCTTAAAGATTTATTATTGTTGTGTTTAACAGTACTTTTTTCTTACCTTGTACATATATCAGTTAGAATTCTATTGTAAGGAATAATAGACTGTCATCTTCATATGTTTATTTAATAAACAGTTTTGTAATATAGACATGAATATTTTTATGGGTTAAATATTAAATAAACATAATATAGACATGAATATTTATTTTATGGGTTAAGTTCCAATATTATTATTTATTTTGCTATTCCATTTTCTTTTTTCAGCTTTGGCCTCTTGTAGATTATTTAAATTGATGGCATCTGTGTTCTTTCAACAAGATCTTATCTTTTCCTTCTCTTTTTGAGCCCTTTTTTATTTTCTGAAATTGTTATATTTCTATTATATTTCTATTATATTTCTTCTGCCCTGTAATAACTCCCTTCTATAAAAAATTATGTTTTTTTAATTGGAAAATGATGTTTAGAAAGCAAAATGCTATGTTTATGGTTACTAGCATGTTATTGCTTCTTGCATACATGCATAGATATGCACATCAATAGGACCATATGCATCTATTTCCTTGTGTAAATATACAGACAAAAATATACATGCAATGTGTATACACATTAAAATCATAGATTTATATTAAAAACTAAACTCATGTTAAAAATTATGAGTTTACACTGCTATTTTATAGCACTTATCTCAGTATAAAATTAGCATTCTGACTAAATTTGAAATATATAACTACATATATACTCGCTGGATTCTTGACCATTGTAGCAGTTGGGGAGAACTCTAGCCAGACACAGGTTACATAAACATATACGTGACAAGATAATAACAGGTGGGGTAGAAAAGTAAACTTAACAATAGAATTGTAAGCATCAGGAAGAAGACCCAAATGAAGAAGTCAAAAGGATCAGGAAGGAATTAACCAAATTGAATGGAACAGTGTGACGAAAGCAAAATACAGTAGGT